AGACACGTGTAAACATAGTAAAAGCAATTTACATCAAGACTACAGCCAATATCAAATTAAATAAAAGATACTAAAAACATTTCCTCTAAAATCTGGAGAAAAACAAAGTGGTCCACTCTCTTCATATCTATTAAATTTTATACTTGAAGTTTTAGCTAGAGCAATAAGACAACTGAAGGAGATCAAAAGATACATATTGGAAATGAAGATGTCAAAGTATTCTCATTTGCAGATGATATGATAGTGTATGTGTGTGTGTGTGTGTGTGTGTGTGTGTGTGTGTCCCTAAAATTTCCACCAGGAAATTCCAACAGCTGATAAACACCTTCAGTGAAGAGTCTGGATGGAAGATTAACAAACAAACAAAGAAAAGTAGCCCTCCTATATACAAATGAAAAATAGACTGGTAAAAAAATCAGGGAAAGGACACCTTTCATAATAGCCTTAAATAATGTGAAATATCCTGGAGTAACTCTAACTAAGCAAGAGAAAGACTTGTATGATAAAAACTTCAAGTCTTTGAAGACAGAGTTTGAAGACAACATCAGAAGATTGAAGATCTCCAATACTCATGAATTGCTAAATTTAACATAGTAAAAATAGCCATCCTACCAAAAAACAATCAAAATTCCAACACAATTCTTTAGAGACTATGAAAGGACAGTTTTCAACTTCATATGGAAAAACAAAAAACCCATGATAACTAATGTAACTACAAACAATAAAAGAACTGCTAATGTATCACCACCAAAGATTTCAAGTTGTACTACAGAGCTAAAGTATTAAAAACAGCAATTATTGGCATAAAAACAGAAACATTGATCAGTGGAGTCCAAATGAAGACCCAGACACAAATCCACACACCTGAGAATAAAGGAGACAGAAACACACACTGAAGAAAAAAAAAAAAAAAGACAGAATTTTCAACCAATGCTGCTGTTCAAACTAGAAGTCTGCATGTTGAAGAATGCAAATAGAACCATATTTATCACCCTGCACAAAACCAGATATACTGAATATGATGGAAGAGGAACTGGGGAATAGCCTTGAATGCATTAATACAGTTAGATGACTTGCTTACCAGAACACTTATATCACAGGCAGAAAGATCAACAGTTAATTAGTAGGACCTCATGAGCCTGAAATGCTTCTATAAGGCAAAGGGCACTTTCAATGGACAAAGTGGCAACATACAAAATGGCAAAATATTTTTAACAACTCCATATCTAATAAGGGATTAATATCCAAAATATATAAAGAACCCAACAAACTAGATATCAAAATCCCAAATAAATCCTTTATAAAATGAAGGTAGATATCTAAACAGAGAATTCTCAATGGAGAAAGCGAATATGGCTGAGAAACACTTAAAGATGTGTTCAACATCCTTAGCCATCAGAGAAATGCAAATCAAAACTACTTTGAGATTCCATCTTCTGTCTTTCAGAATGGCTAACATCAATAACACAAATGACAGTTCATGATGGTAAAGGTGTGGAGCAAGATGAACAATTTCTATTTCTGGTAGGAGTGCAAATTTGTACAGCCACTATGGAAATCAATATAGTGGTTTCTCAAAAAATTACATATCTATCTAATTTCAAACCCTGCTACCATCCTTGCGTATATACCCAAGAGGCTACATTCTAACTCAAGGACACTTGCTCAACTATGTTCATTGTGACTGCATTCATAATAACTGAAACAAGGAATGAATTATATGTCCCTCAATAAAGGAATGGATCAAGAAAATGTGGTATATTTACACAATAGAATATTACTCAGCTGTTAAAAAATGACATCGTGAAATTTACAACCAAATGTGTGGTACTAGAAAAAAAATCATCCCAAGGGAGCTAATCCAAACTCACAAAGACAAATACGGTATGTATTTACTTATAAGTAGATATTAGCTATTAAGTAAATTATATCCAAACTACAATCCCCAGACCCAGAAGTTAGATAAAGAAGAGGGATCTTGGGAAAAAGATTGAATCTCCTGGCAAGTGGGGCCCCATTGCCCAGGAAAATGTCTAAATAGTTCATTGAATGCTAAGAAGTGGAACTGGTGCCTGCATGGAGCCTTTACTCCTAAGTTCTAATCTCTTTGTTGTGAAAAGGTACTCTATATGCTACAGAAAGAGAAACATGGACATCAACCAACCTACAAAACTTTTGACCTACATTCTGTCCTGCCTATAAGAAGTGCTGGGGTAATAGTCACAAACAACTTCTGAGAGTAGCCAAACAATGTCTGATTTGAGTTGACACACACGATGTGAGAGGGAGCCTATGCCCAAAAGTGCTCGGGTTGTCAGAACCAGAGACTGAACAGCTCAGAGACCAAGGGTAGAATGACTATTGTTCTAAAATCAAACAACAACAAAAAACAATGAAATGATCTCTAATAATATTCTGTTATGCTCATAGATTGGTGCCTTGTCCAGTCATCATTATAAAGGTTTCCTTAGGCAGCAGATGCAGAGACCCACAAGTAGACATTATGCATACAGAGTATAAATTGGAAGTCTGCATTGGGGCTCTCCCCTTGGGTCTCAGAGAACCCTGTAAAAGAGGAGGAGGACAAATTGTAGGAGTCAGAGGGGATGGAGGACATCTGGAGAACATGGCCCACTGAATCAACTAATTGGGGTGCACACGGAGACTGAAGTGGCAAGCAGGAGCCGTGCATGGGTCTGCAACATGTCCTCTGTGTTTATGTTGTGGCTCTTGACTTGAGATTTTGGTGGGACTCCTCATTGTGAGAGCAAGTGTGCCTCTGACTCATTGCCTGCCCTTTGGATTGTTTTCTCCTGTCGTGTTACCTTCTCCAGCTTTGGTGAGTGTTTTTGCCTTGTCTGATTGCATTTTATATTGCTATGTTTGATTGTTGTCTTGTGGGTCCCTGCTCTTTTCTGATGGGAGGAGTGAGTGTACATCTCTTGGAGAGGGGAGGTAGAGGAAACTGTAGTCAGGATATATTGTATGAGAGAAGGATATATTTTCAATTAAAAAAAGAAAGAAAAATGTATCTAATTGATCTCATGCAAATGTATCAAATTGATCCCATGTCTCAATAGATGATTTCTATTTCAGGAATATATTTACAAGTTCCTAGACTCCAGGCCTCCATTTCCATTCTGTTTCCAATTTACATACCATTTACTGCCTATAAGATAAGCAAAAATCATAGGCTTGGGTAGGAGATAGCAAAGTATGATTTGAAAGGAAATTCAAAGACTGACGTATGGCAATGCAAATTGGATATCATGAGTCAATTGATAAATGAATGAAGACAAGAGAGAGTCAGAAACACGAGATGTGTTACTTCAGTTAGGCATAAAGATTCAGATGGCTGTATCATTTCTTGTCATATACTAATTTCAGGGTCAGACAAGTCTTCCAAACTGAATCTAACCACAAAGCCTTAAGATATTCATTCTTAATTAGGAAAAAAGCTGCAAAATATCATGTCCCTGGCGATTCTAGGAAAAAGAAGTGCAGTTTGTACATTGTCTACAGGCAGGCTGCTCTTTTGTCAATCATTACAAACTAGATACCTGTCATCGCATTTTGATTCTTTCATAGAATAGAAGTGAAGCAGTAAAAATGCTATCATTGGTTGGGGTTTTTTTTAAATTTACAGAGATAAGGAATATTTACCATAAATTACCATTTCACACTCAAAATTTGAAGCTGTTTCAGTATAGACAACCATTTTATTTATATTCTTAACTGGTGGTGAGTAAAGTTCATAGAGCAATATGACTTCTGCAATGTGAGGAATTTTCTTAAAGTACATCTGTGGTGATATATTGTGTACACTAATAAACTTGCCTGAGGATCCGAGGACAGATCCAGCCACTAGATTAGACATAGAGGTCAGGAGGTGGTGGCACACACCTTTAATCCTAGCACTTGAGATCTCATGCCTTTGCTTGGGAAGCATACACACCTTTAATCCCAGGAAGCAATAATGTCAGGGCAGAGAAAGGTATATAAGGTGTGAGGAAACAGAAACTCACTCTCTTTAGGCTGAGGATTTCATAGAGGTAAGAACTAGTAGAACTCTGATCTTTCAGCTTTAACTCTGATATCTGACTCTGGGTTTTTTATTAAAAGCCCATCTAAGATCTACAGGATGGACTACATCAGTCAATAAGGTTTGTTCATGCCATGTATAATATGTGGGGGACACAAAATCAGCATTAACAAGGTAACAGTAAACCTCTTCACCTGAACAGTTAAATTTATTCATCAGTAGAAAAAAGCCATTAATCTTTTAACCCAGCTAAGTTGGTGACGCCAAAATAAAGCTTTTCCTAAAGCTGATAATAGCATCAGTCTCAAAGACACCATTTACTTCGCTGAAACTTGCCAAAGAAAATAGTCCAAAATGGCATATTCCCACTAAATCAAGTAAATTTTCCTAGCATATTTATTTCTCTCAATAATTCAATATATTGGCCCTTTCCTGTCCATGATACACATTTTTTTTTTTACTTCATGCTGCAATTTCTTGATGGAAATGATATGTGTTTTTGCATTTGTTCTAACTTAGGCAGTGAAAATTTAAAAGGTTATGACTATCAGGGACTAAGGAAGCCATAGTTGTTTACAAACATCTCACCCACATAATCTCTGGTCTCACACTGTTTGATTGTTTTTGTGATTTTCTTTGTCTTGTTCATGTGAATCTCAAACCAAGTTTTAAATATTGGACCAACTCAAGACCCATACTCTCTTGTCCTACCTATAGTTTTCCTGAAGAGCAAGGACTTTTCTACTTGAAACTCATTATATTTTTTCCTTTTATTGAAAATAGACTCATTTCTCATACAATATATCTTGATTATTGATTCCCTTCTCCCTACCCCTCACAATGCTTCCCCATCCCTCTTCCCCTCCAGGTCAACTCCATTTCAATCTCTCATTAGAAAAGAACAAGCTTCCAAGAAACAACAACTAAACATAATGGAGTCGTTTAGATGTAATTGAACCCTATAAACTCATAGAGAGTGCCATGATTAGGAGGTATGGCTTTCTTTGAGTAGGTGTGGCCTTGTTGGAGGAGGTGTGTCACTGTGGGGGTGGGGTGGGCTTTGAGCTCTCCTTTGCTCAAGTTTCACTCAGGGTGACACTCAGAGCATTTCCTATTGCCTGTGGATGAAGATGTGGGACTCTCAGCTTCTCCAGCACCATGTCTGCCTTCATATCATCATGTCCTGCCATGATGATAATGGACTAAACCTCTGAACTGTAAGACATCCCAATTAATGTTTTCCTTTATAAAAGTTGCCATGGTTATGGTATCTCTTCAAAGCAATAGTAACCCATGACACATGACAAAATAAAATAATATAAAGCAAAAACTATGTTGGACAAGGTAACCCAAAAGGAGGAAAAGAATCCTAAGTGAAAACACAAGAGTCAAAGACCCAGTTGTTCTGACAATCAAGAATTCCATAAAATAGTAAGATAATAGATATGATATATACACAGAGGTCTACATACACATCTGTCTTGGCACTGTATTTGCTGCTTTAGTCTCTGTGAGCTTTTCTTAGTTGATTCAGTAGGCACTGATCTCCTGGTGTCCTTCACCCCCTCTGACTCTTACCTTCTTTCTGCCTCTTCTGCTGGATTCAATGAGCTATTAAGGGAGGGATTTGATGGAGACCTTCAATTTATATACTCTCTCCAAATAATGTCTGGCTGTGGGTCTCTACATCTGTTCCTGCCAGAGGAAGCCTCTTGAAAGATGACTGGATAAAGCACTGATCTATGAGTATAGCAGGATATAGCTAGGAACCATTTTATTGATACTTCTGTTTTGAACATTAGTGTTTAGGTTTACCCTAGGTCTCTGGGCTATCTAGTCTCTTGTTCTTGCTTACCCAAGGAGTGTTAGGTATGGATTTCTTCTTGTAGAGTGGGCATTTAAGTCAGATCAGTCAAATCAGTTGGCTACTCCCACAAGTTCTGTGCCATGATTGCCCTTGCATATTTTGCAGGCCGGGCAGATTGTAGGTCAATGATTTTATGGCTGGGTTGCTATCTATGTTTCTTTTTCAGCAGCCAACATAGTACATTCCCTCACCAAAGAGACTAGAATGTAGGGGTGAAAACACCATGTAGGCACCGGTTCTAATTCTTCATGTTCAAGTTGTGAGTGTTGTCCTCAGCAGTGGGGCTGTCAGTTTGCCAAGAGTCACATTTTGTTTTAGCAATAGCCTGGGTTTCCTGAAGATTTCCATTGGCCTTCCTTGACAACAACTCAACCAAATGCAAACTAGTTCTTCCACTGGAAACCTCTGCTATGGGATGGTCTGTATGTCAAAAATTCTGATTGGTCAATAAATAAAACACTGATTGACCAGTGGCCAGGCAGGAAGTATAGGCAGGACTAACAGAGAAGAGGAAAAAAAAGAACAGGAAGGCAAAAGGAGTTACTGCCAGCCACCGCCATGACAAGCAGCTTGTGAAGAGGCCTGTAAGCCATGAGCTACATGGCAAGGTATAGATTTATGGAAATGGATTAATTTAAGCTATAAGAACAGTAAGCAAGAAGCCTGCCACAGCCATACAGTTTATAAGCGATATAAGTCTCTGTGTTTACTTGGCCTGGTCTGAGCAGCTGTGGGACTGGCGGGTGACAAAAATTTGTCCTGACTGTGGGCAAGGCAGGAAAACTCTAGCTACAAGCCTACCATAGCAACAACAGATAACCTGTTGAGACTCCATATCCCCCATTAGTAGAAATCCTCATTAGAATTCCTTAATAGATTCCAAGAAGTTTCCACTGCACTAGGTTTCCATACCACCCCCAAATGTTCCCCCATTTTCAGCCCTCTCTTCCCACACTCTCTCCCTTCACCCTATCACCCCCACACCTGATTCCCCTGTTCCCACCCTCACTAGTCCCCAGTGCAGTTGTAAAATTCATTCTATTTTCCCTTCCTAGAGAAATCCATGTGTTCCTTCTAAACTCTACATCTTTTATGGATTATAGCTTGGTTATGATTTACTTAAAGGCTAGTGTATACTTGTAAGTGAAGACATGCCATATTTATCTTTAAGAGTTTGGGTTATCTCACTCAGGATAATTTTTTTTAAGTTCCATTCATTTGCTTGCAAATTTCATGATGTCATTTTTTAACAGTTGAGTACTATTCCATTTTGTAAATGTATCACATTTTCTTTACCTATTCTTTGTTAGAAGGACATCTAGACTGTTTCCAGTTTCTCCCTATGATGAATGAAGCCACAATGAACATGGATGAACAAGTATTCTTATGGTAGGATGGAGCAACTTTTGGATATACACTCAAGAGTTGTATAGCGGGATCTTAAGGTAGATAAATTCTCAACTGTCTAAGAAATCGCCATATTGATTTCTATAGTGGCTGTACAAGTTTGCACTAGCACCAGCAATAGAGAGTGTTACTTTTGCTCCACATCCTTGCTAACATGAGCTGTCATTTGTGTTACTGATCTCAGACTTTCTGAAATGTGTAAGATAGACTCTCAAAGTAGTTTTTTGTTTGTGTTCCCTAATTGCTAAAGATGTTGAATTTTTTTTAGTGTTTCTCAGTCATTTGAGATTTTTCTTTTGAGAATTTTTTGTTTACATCTATGCCCCTCTTGTAAATTAAATTACTTGGTGTATTGATATCTAATTTCTTTTTTATTATTCATTTATTTACCACTATGGCACTCTTAATCTTTTTTTTGTAGATATAATTTTCTTTTTCTTTATTAAAGAAATTTTTTGTTCATTTTACATACCAACCACAGATCCCCTCTCATCCCTCCTCCTGCTCCCTCACAATCTTCCCTCCCCTGGCCTGACCCCCTATCCTCTCCTCTGGAAGGGTAAGTCCTCCCATGGGCAGTCAGAAAAGCCTAAATTCTTCATATATTTTAGATATTTGTCCTCTACCAGACAGTGGAGTTGATAAAAAAAAAATCTTTACCATTTTGTAGGCTGCTGCTTTGTCCAGTTGGCTGTGTCCTTTGCCTTACAGAAGATTTTCCATTTCATGAGGTCCCATTTATTAATTGTTGATCTTAGTGCCTGTGTAATCAGTGTTCTGTTCAGAAAGCCATCTCCTGTGCCATTGCATTCAGGGCTATTCCCCACCTTTTCTTTTATCAAGTTCAGTGTATCTGGTTTTGCAGAGATCTTTGATACACTTTGACTGGGAAATTGAATCAACAAAGAAAAGACAAACTGCATATTCATTACATTTTAAGATTATTTGTTTGTCTGTTTGTTTGACAGAAATAATTTTCATGAAAAGTTAGTGTTTTTATAAACTTGTTTGAGAAGTTCTATCATCATGAAAAGAGTTTTCAAATCTTCATGAAAGATATTCAGCTTTGAAAAATATCTTTTTCTATCACCTGACACAGTGGTTGAATAAAATCCTTCCCAAATCGTCAATTACAGAAGTGAATTAATATAGAAAAGACACTATGTATTTTAGTGAGACAAAAGTGCAGTATAGATGAAGTTCCTTTATTTTTATGAATATTTCCCTGTAAACACTTGTATATTTATTTTCCAAAATACTTTTTTTATTCTATATGGAAACACAAAAATAAAAATAGCACATGATTTTTGGAAATCACTTACCAAGAAGGCCCCAAAGTGATACTTTTCTGTGTTTCTCATGACATTAGATACACAGGTAGATTTCAGTTATCTGAGAACCTCCTGCTAATGGCTGGAAATATAATGGGCACTAGAGGAGACTCTACCATTGCCATTTTCAATAAACAGTATTATAAATTATTATCCTTATACCCACAGTAATGACATATATTGTGACTACTATATATTGTGACATAACTTGTCAAAATGCAGAGAATAAGTTACCTAGGGTATTCATCCCAAACTGACACATCTATAATGCAACCTCTTAGTCTAAAGTCCAGAGACAGTAACAGAAGAAAGAAAAAGATGACAAGGGTGCTATATACTGTCTTTTCAACATGGTAGTGATATGTAATATACACACACACACACACACACACACACATTATATATATGAAAAAGATGACAAGGGTGCTATATACTGTCTTCTCAACATGGTAGTGATGTGTAATATATATACACACATACACACGCATATATATATATATATATATATATATATATATATATATATATATATATAATGTGTGTGCCTGTGTGTGTGTGTGAGACCTAAACAATATCCACACAGCAACACCAACTGACATGACAAGATGGATGGTAAGAATCTCACAAGACGTCACCACTAGATGTCCATCAACAGGTTATCAGAGAGTACTGAGAAATGGAGAATCAACTTTCTTTAGTGAAGAATTCTGATTTATTATCCAATACCAATTAGACAGCTATAAACATATATGTATTTGAGCAACACTAAATGGAACATAGTATGTTTGTGTATGGGTGTACATGTGTGTGTGTGTGTGTTTTTTGTGTGTGTATGTGTATGTATGTGTGTGGGTATAGCAATAATACTTAAAGAAGAGGAGAATATGAATTCAAAGGGGAATTGGGGGATAATGAGGGATGAGTTGAAGTGGGAAGATAGAGAGTTAGAAATAATTTAAAAACAATATTCATATTTAAAATACAGAAAAACTTAAAATGATATGAGATGATTTTCACTAGAGGAAACAAACAGACATTATTATTATTATCATCATTTTTTGCATTAACAGGAGTTGAACCAAAGGTCTCATACATGCTGCCAGGCAAGCACTCTTCCCTTGACCTCTATCCATGACCCTCTTTTTATTTTTTAGTTTGAGATGGATCTCATTAAGATACCTGGAAACCACCTACTAAACATGTAATTCTCATACTTCAGCCTTCTAACTATGTAGGATTATAGACTTCTTCCTCCAGGAATGGCCTGAAGTACATTAAAGAATAAAATGCAATTATTTGAAATGTAAAATGATATTTATCTCAATATATTTGATAATTGTAAAATTGGTAATACTTAAGACATTTTAGTTTGCAGTCTATTGTATGCTTATCATTTGTAATTGTGGTAGTTTAGCTTTAAGTTTCAACAATATGACTGTTGATAATTTATTGTGACTATTACACTAAATTTACCAAGTATACCAATGAGACAGACAGTACACATAGCTT